ACAAGCCTGATTTTTTTCAATTGTTTGTATGTCTATATGTTTGTTCTTTGTCTGAGGGACAACTAGCTAAATTTTTTTCCCATTCTCTGAGCTGTCTTTGTACTCCGTTGAATTTTTTTTTCAGCCAGGGCTAAATCTTTTTAATAGGATGAGATAGCAATTGTTGATTCTTCATATTTCCCATGTGATTGGAGTTTTGTTCATAAAATCTTCACCTACACCTATGTGTTCAAGAGTTCTACATATTGTCTCTGAGCAGATTTAGAAAAAAAATCAGAACTCCCAAATTTAAAGACTTAGCCCAAAAATGGGCATCTGAGATAAATACACACTTCTCAGATGAAGAAATACAAACGGCAAATAAACATATAAAAATATCCAACATCACTGGTTGTGGTGGATTAACAATTGGTGGTCAACTTGTAACACCCCAGCTGATTTGAACCAGCATGGTGCTTAGTGTAGAAGATCCACCTGAGGATCACTGCCAGCAGCTTAAGAGGCAGAGCTGGAGAAGAAGAAAGGCTGTTAGGAGCTGTTGGTTTTCCTGAAGAAGTTGATCATGCTGGATTTTTTTTTAATGAACTTGGCTGTTCTCATTGTTGGAGAAGCTCTGGACCTTGATGTCACTGAGAATGGCTATGGTTTACTTTGAGGGAGCCCTGGTCCTGATGGTACCACTTGTTCAATCTCCAGGAGAAGCATGTCATATAGACTCAGCTGTTCTCATTGTCATTATTGGAGGAATGCAGGGCCTCACTGTTGGTGGAGATGTCTGTGGTACCTTTCAGGGAGCTCTGGTTCTTCATATCACTTCCTGGCTCCAGTTTAGATCCCTCAGACTGCTGGCACAGATCCTTCAGATTCACTAGCACAGACTTCCTAGCTTTCACCATTGACCTTTGAGCCTTACCAGCTGTAGCGGTAAGGCTGTAGTGGTGCAGGTCATGAATTTAATGACAATGCAATGCCACATTTCCACAAAATCCTCAAAAGGAAGTGTCATTAGATAAGTTCTTTGTTAAAGTTGCAAGAAAAGGGAGATAGGGCTGGAGAGATGGCTCAGTGGTCTAAAGCACCTACTTGGAACTAGCTTGGCAAAGCATCAGGGACCGCGGTTCAATCCCCCAGCACCACATGCCAGCCAGCCCCGCCCCCTGGTGG